TATTATTTGTTTCCTTTTACTTGTATGCATTTGTGTCTCTTAAATGTTTATATTTAATTATTTTTATAATTTTTCCTCACAAATCTTTTTATTTCCATGTGTTGCTTTTACATTTCTTTGTCTCCTGTATTTATTTTACCTTGTGCATTTCTGCCTCATTATGTAAATAAGGTGGGCGGTCCTTCTTGGAGAAGCTCCTCTCCTATTGGTTAACAGACAGAAAGGAGCAGGATCCATGTGCAGATCTACTGTGCATGAAAATGCTGCTTTGGTTTAGTTTAAAGTTTAGTTAAAAAACAAAAGCAAGGAGAAAAAACACTTACCTGTGCCTTTATATTTAACTAAACATTAAACTTTTCATCAACTCCAAAAAGTAATTATATKTACATCTACTAGGGATTACCTTTGTGTTTTGAAATAAGCTGAGAATCAATCCTAAGTACAACACACTGAACACTAACGGTGCAGTAACTTCAGATATATTGTTATTTTCAAGGCTGTCACTTTATTCCTTAGCATAATTTTATTTAATTTATACTGTTGTTTAACCAGCAAATCCTACTGAGTTCACAGATCTATTTTTCAAAGGAGGTCTGGGCTTGAACCCAACCGACTGTACATGTTTTTGTGTTGTGGGGGAAACCAGAGYACGCAGAGGAAACCCATGCAAACATGAGGAGAACATGCAAACTCATGCACAGGAAGACTTCAGGTCCAAACCCAGGACCTTCTTGCTGTGAGGCATCGGTGCTAACCGCTGAGCCATCGTGCTGCTAAATACAATATAATACAGTCTTAATTTAGAGTTGTTGTGTGGAAGGTGGTGGGAGATACATGTTAAAATCCTTAACTGTAGTTAATCTTTAGTTACCATGAGACTCTTAAAACTAATCATTGTTTTTATATCATTGATCTCTTTATGTTTCTATTTTAAGATGGTTTGTTTCAGTTTTACAAGTAGTTTTTCAGTTTTACCAAGATCAATCCTGAAATATTAACACGCCTGTTTTGCCGTGTATTATAAGGTGATAACTGATTTTTATCCTGAAGTCAGAACTTAAATCAGGATCTGAATGCTTCTCTTTTACAATCTTTCATCTTCTGCTCGTTTACYGAGCTGCTAACCGAGTCTATCGCGCCAAAAGCTTTAGCTCGTCTGCTCGTGCACATCTTTACTTTTACAATGAAAGAGACTAAAGGATCTAGATTATTGAACCAGATAAACACTCTCATTGTGCTTGTGGGTCAAAATAAATTAAACATTTATTGTGAGGTAACTCAAACTCTATCAACCGGGTTGTTGGCTTTTGTCCAACTTGAGATGTTGCTTTACTTTTATCTGGAGCATAAATCTATAACCTGTTCAAAGTGGATGTTCTTTCGTACGCAGCTGTTATCAGCCTGGTATAATTTTGTTGCTGTCTTTTCTGACTGGCTGAATGTTTGAATRTTTGCCAGCTGAATTCCCCAGAGTTTTCAGGGATCATAAAATTTTTTCGTCTTTATGGCTGCAGGGCGGGAGGGGGCCTTCAGGCAACAGCAGGGAAAATAACGGGACTTTCTGCTATTTAGGAATTTCCAAGTTTGTCCTTTTAAACAAGGACCTTTCAGGTTTTAAATGTYTTTCCCTCATTAATTATAAGAATTGGTGTACTTTTTTATTATTTTAATATCAATAATTAAGACAAATGAAAACATAAGCAGACATTTATTTTTCTCAGTATTGTCAGAGTTCATCTCAAGTTTCAAAACAGTATTGATGCTGTTTTAATTTAACATTTTATTTTAGCTGCATGGTGGCGTTACGTGCTGCTTTAGCTGTGWAGAGTAGCTTTAAATCCATCTCTGTCAGCTTCTTTCAACTGGTTTTTACAACTTAAATCTATTAAAGCTGGGATTAAACTCTGCTCACTGTTTACTCTCCATCAACACACTAACAGTTCTGTTCACCCTCGGATCGCTTTTTCCCATTCAGTATTGTGACTTAAAACATATTTACAGATTATTAAACCAGACTTGCCTTTTTTTCTTTTTTTTTAGTCTCAGGTAAAAGTGATAGCAGACGCGACAAATGCAGCGTTGTGCACAAATGTCTTAACATGATTTATGTTGGTCTTAAACAATTAGTGGAAGAGATTTTTCGGTTTTGTTTTGCTAAACTTTTATTTGCAGAAGAATATGATCATTTTATGTGACGTTTAATCTCTGCGGGCAGAAGATGCTGGCTCCGGGCCAACTGGAGTCCAATAATTTAACAACAGAACTGTAATTTGATTATTTTTATATCTTCCTTACGGGCACAGAGTGTCACTTTTTTTTTTGGCTCTGAAGGAATTCACTTTGATTACGTTCACCTGAATGTTTATCACTCCCAGAGGGGATGAAGTTTATTTTCATCACTAATTTCTGGCAGCCCGTTATTGCCCACTGAGAGAAAAGGCTGGCACTCATGTATCTGTGTAAATTTGTTAGCAAAATATTTCATCATTGGTCGTACATCTACAGCTGGTTCACTTTTGGAGTTGAATTGGTTCAAGATGGCCGCCACTGTGAATTAATTTTAGCAAACATAAAAATGGCTACGACTAAGTCAGTTTTGATGATATTGAGCTAAAATCCGGTGTGGTAGTACCTGAGAGTGGTTCCTGTCACGTACTCTGAGCACTAGCATGTTGTGCATGTTCTTTGTTTAAAACTTGAGCATGTAAGAGAGCAGGTGACATGTTGTCAAATGATGCTACTTTTCTTTATTTCATTTGAATTACAGAAGAAAATATGTAATAAAAACTGTCCATAATCAGTAACATTACCTTGTCTGTACTTCTCCATATGCTGCCTTAACTGTGGCCTTAAACCAGGGCTATTCAACTGGCGGCCCCCGCGAGTGACCAAAGTTCGGCCCGCCGATTGGTTCATTCATCTCTTCAGCCCAAGCCCCTGGTTTTCTACTTTAATTACTCTTAAGTTATTTTAGTTAAACATAGACGTGTTTGGATCTACAGAAACATCAAAACCTTGGCTACAAGCTGGTAAAAACCATTTCTATGAAACATCCAAGACAGTTAAAACTA